AAATTTGAATTTCGTAGTTATATTTGAGATGCAAAGCATTTCAAATATGAAATGTTTGAAAAGCATTTCAAATATCAAATATAAAACGTCTCTAGATTAAGTATCTGCCCTATATTCTACTGTGTGTGTACGAATTATTATGGTTCATTCAGTTTTTTTAGGATGAGTGGAATTTATAATACTGAAATCTCAAGCGAACAATTTGAGAGAAAAAGGTATATGAAAGTAAAGTAGCAAAAAGCCAAAATTTTCAAAAAGAATACACGCTGAGGACAGTGTAGCAGAATTAAAAAAATAGAGCAGAACCACAATAGCTCAGAAGACATTGACATTTTGATTGCTTTAATTTATTTCCTGAAAAAATTATTGTATCACATTGTGAGTGATAGCTTTGTCACGAAAAAACTGTGAATTCTGCAAAACTATATTTTCAGTTGTGGCAGTCAATGCAAAAAAATTCATTGAAGGTGAGCATGAGACTTATTCATTTGAATATTTCGTACGTAAGTTTGCAGAATTGCTGAAAGTGGTTGGAACGTTTAGTGTGACATGAGTATTTTTCATTACATTTTAGGTAATGACTGGAATTTGTCTGTGAGTTTTCGCATTGTAATTTCATAACAATGTTTGCCTCTCCATTATCCAATTTGCCTGCAAAAAATCATTCTGCTTGTAACATTTCGGAAATAAAGATGATTTTACATGAGGAGAAAATTTGCGACGGCAGTGATAGTGTTCAGCACCAAAATGAAACCGCAAATATTTTCCAGATTCCAGAATGGAGTCACTGGAAAAGATCTTGCAACAAATTGATTGGTCTTTCAAGCAGTGCGGAGTGACCTGCAATGTCGGATGAGTGGATGCGCAGATTGAACTTTCATTTTCTGCTTAAGTAATTTCTCACCATGTACAGCCTATAACTGTTCATACATTACCTCAGTTTGTGTGCGTGCGCGTGTGTCTGTCTGTCATTGTCTGAGAGCAGTTTTGAGAAGGTTTTGTGCTGTAAGGGATGGAATGTTTGAATGTATATCTGAGTGAGTTACATGATTGTCTAATCAGATGTCTGTCTGACCAAGTAAGCATATGTGATCACTGAAGTATGCTGGCGCCATGAGTTGAAGGTGCGCTCGAGCACAGTGTTTTTGGAAGTGTGGGTGTATGAGGGTGAGAAGTGGTAGATGTGTGTATGTTTGCGTCTTTGAGTGAACTGTGGGTCATGTTTAGATGCTCTGTTGTCTTGATGGTTGTGGTACGCTTGTATGCCAGTATCTTTGTTTCTATAATGTCCGTATATGTAGTTCTCTGTGTTTGTGCGTGAAATTGTTTCTATATTGCTTGCAAAAGCCTAGCTGACCGCCGTCTTTTTTGAGCTGGAAAATGATTTAATCAAGTCATTAGTTGATGCACTGAACTTGACGATATTTTGCTTGGAATAAAAATGGTCTTCTGGTCAAGTTATACTCACGCAAAAATATGCAGTTTCACGACGAAAAATTTCGGTGATTGCAGTAGTTGAGGCATTTCTTTGTCGCATTTCCGTCTGAAGCAGTCATATATCACCCAAGTCTTTTTACTATCAATTGAGAAGATGAGTTGTGTGGTTCATTCGATGAGTTATTGTGCTTGTTTTAATTCGTAACATTGTTCGCAATGATTTTATATGCTTCTAACATTAAAAAATTAACTTGTAGCTATGAATTCTGAAACAAAGATCAAGTGTGAGATTTAAAAGAAGTTCTAGTAAAATATTCAGCAGATCAAATCGGAAATATTAGGTCGATCAGAACATTTGAACTACGCAAATAACCACAAATCTTGGGCAATAATAAACAACAGCTCGTAGAGACCAAATTTTAGCTCTTATATCGTGATTGTATTGCTATTCCAAGTTTGTCATGCATGCTCCTAAATAGTTATTTCATATTAATTGTTATCCCCAAATAGTTTGAAGGAATCTCTGATACCAGAATCGTTCTTATTGTAAAAGCTTCTGTTCCAATGGACAGAAATTAGTCTGCTGAACGCTTGTTTTTTTACTGGAAAATCAATTCCTTATTTACATAAATCTTTTTTGCGCATTAAGAAACAGCGCAGTGGTACAAAATCAGATCAAGAACTTTCGGCTGGGATTCTTATCAAAATAATTTTAGATAAAAGAATAAATTGTTTGGCTAGTTTTATACAGCAATTTTCATTCTTCTTAATGCTCTGAATGCACCCAGCCTATATTTAGGCATTGTGCGGATGGATTTTTAGAGGAGATAAAAATTAGCTCAGATTTAAACATTGTTTCAGTTTTACAAATTTGCAACAAGTAAAATCATAGTAGGGTGAAATGCATTTAAACAGATTAGTAAGTAAAAATAGAATTTATATTTCTCATGCAGTTCATTCTGTTTTTCCATTTTATTTGGCAATAACTGCAATTACTACAAATTTACTGTTTTCAAGTTGTCAGTGAAAAAGTTTTTGGTCTGACATAATCTGTACATTGACATATGCTGCTGTTCTGTAGCTTCCTCAAATCACTAGTCATCGAAATTAATTTGAGGATCATTTTGACGTTGTTTTTCAGTGACTAGAATGATTTATTTTTTAATAATTGGCTCTATTCAAATTTCTGTCTAATTATTAATGATCTTGACCTTAAACTTTAAAACGCTGCTAACCAATAAATCAATGATTCAAACTGTTACCAACAGTTTAGAAACAGTTAATAAATTCATATTTTAAATAACTATGATAATCGAAGAGTATGCGTAAAGTTTGAACAGTGAATACATCTAAACAAATTCATAAAATAAGGGTACTTAAACAAATGACCATTTCGAAGCGAACTGATCAATCAAAATGACTTATGAGTACATGATGTATTGGAACAAAGATTTGTTCGTTCTTTCCAAAAACAGAATTGTTTCTATATTTTTCGAATGAACTCTATTATAAGTGACTGAGAGGCACACATCTCTTTTTACAAGAATCTTTCATTCTAATATGCACTTCTTTCAAGCATTCTTCACTTTGTTATGACGGTTTATTATTATAAAGATATCATAAAGTAGCAACTTATAATACCTCTAATTATTTGTTTCCGTAACCAAAACACTTGGATTTTCCACGCATGTCTGTGTGCGTGTGTTTATAAATGTTAGTCTCTCTATTATGGGTGTGTGTATGTGTGTGTGTATATGCGTAATATCTGTATATGCCATTTTCGAGTCGATATTGTTAAGCAAAGGAAAAGCAATAAAAGCTAATCTTAAAACGCATCTGTCTCGTCAATTCGAATCAGTCCTCCTAGGACTTGGCTTCTTTTCTTTAACATCTGCTGGATGTAGCCAAGAATCAACCATCAATCGTTTGCACATCAAATTATAGTGGTAGTAATGGCGCTATCTTGATAGAAAAAATTATTTAAACGAAGTGATATAAGAGTAGATAGTGTCATTTTCCGATTAATAAAAATGGCCAGAAGCAAACGAGAGCAATCAAATGACCTGTTTTTCTCATTCAGAAGCTAATTTCTGCATCTAAATCCCTCTAATTTATCTTTAACAGAATATATTAAATAACTGGATCAAAATTTCTTCTCACTCACTACTGAAGCTAATTTCTGAAGACGAACTATTATTCCTGACCCATTTTGTTTTTCTAGCGATTGCATCTTGTTTTTTGAAACTATTTTTTTGCCAACCACTTGATGTGCTGCAATAAAATTGTGAAGAATAATAGGAAAATATGTACATCGTATTTCATGTTTTCTGATTATTATTTTTTGAGAAATGGCTAAAACGTGGGATTGTGAGAGGAGCCAAATTTCTTGTGTGCTTTTCCTGCATTGATCATTTCGTAGCGTGAAGCATTATTTAAATATTTCCAATAATAGTATTTATTGAAAGTGCGTAATTCTCCTCGAAAATTCCTGGTATGGAGCAAGCAAAGTCGCTGCAGCAACGGATACAAGGTTTGCATTATTATTTCCTTTCAACAGTGTGATAACAGTATTTGCTGTTTTCTCATCATACCAAAATTAAAAATATTTTTTTCTTCTAAACGGATATACTATCCTGAATCATACTGTAACATAAATATTGCATGTTCATTCAAGTCTTGCGAACGTATGTACTGTTACGTAATTATTGAAATGATCATATGAATACACATTTTTTCGAAAAATGATCAAAACTTGAGCATTTGTTTGGGAAATCACGCAAGTAATGTCCACTTTCTGACAGCTGACGAAACGGAAGACTGACTGATTGTATTGTGTTTAGACTCATAAAAATCACTACTTTGTTGTCTGCTGAAGCATTCACAACCAATTCCTTTGTTCTTTCTTGATTGCTAGCAATGATTTATGCGTAACATTTAGGAGCAGAGAACTGTGATAAACAGTTCTCCCACATACTGGAAGTATTTCATAGCGCTAAAGTAGTGCTGAGCAAAATAATGTCAGAAAAAAACTGATGACCGTATCTTCTTGGTTTATTTTATTACCTATGAAATTTTTATTGTCCAGCTATAACCAACTACATATTTAAAAACTAAACTTATCAAATAACTTTTTTCAGACTGACCACTATGTATCCGCAGAGAAATAATTATTATTATATTTATTGAAAATTAATATTAAAATATAATTACTGCAAAAACTACAGACCACCAGTGTTATGTACATATATACACACATATTTTCTCATAACTACCCATCTGCACCTTCATATATGTACTAACAAAATAAGAGAGAATACTCTTCTTAAACAACTTTCAGTCTAATTTATAATTTATCGCGATTTGAGCACTGACCATTATAAGTGTTCACATCGACAAACATTTTTAAAGTGGGTACGGTGTCATCTTGCTATTCCATCTGTTTTGTTGCTATTTTATGAATGGAAAAGTCAAAAGCATGAGATACATTGAATTACTGAGGAGGTTGCTTTTTTTGATTTGCTTTCACATAAGTGAGATAAAGGCATACTTGTCGTGATGAGAAAAAAGTAACTTTTTTTTTTCATATATATAAAAAATACTCTATTAGAATAAAGAATCTTTTGCTGCTTTCTGTAGTAAATACCTTTCCATCTGCATTTATTTGTTCAGGTTGTAAAATTTTCTAGACATCTTCAGCTCTTATCGAATTTCTATTTAAAAAATATTTTTCCTGAAGTCAGAATTTTTTAGGAAAGTAAGCCAATAAGGGCTAGAACTAGGTTTTTAGTGCAGGAATTAAATATTGTTGTATTGTCAGCAGCTTAATATCTGGTATTAAATGATTTCATTTTCAATGTTTTTTCAGAATTTGAATGCCGAATACGTCGATGGAAACAAGTGAGATTTGCTCCCTTAACGAGACATATTTTCGCCTCTCGTAGATCATCAAGCGTCGAACCACGTGTAGCACAAATTTCTAAAGTTTTTCCTAACTCAAGTTGCTCATTTCCGCCTCAAACTAGTCCACTTCCTAGAAGAAATATGGGTTAGTGATTTAGTTTCATTTTTTCACTTCCATCTTTTCGAAGTAGGTATTGAAAGTATTTTTATGGTCTGACTGGTATTTTACTATTTTATGCTTCCTCAGTGTTAAAAGATTATGCAAGTGTGAATTATAACTATTAACTCACATCAAATCTAAGAAAACCTGAGGGCACGTTTTAACAACAGTTATTTATAGTTCTGTTGGTTTGTTCCATTCAAAAAAGCAACAAATATTATTCCATATTTTATAAATAATGAAGTTGCAGTTCTACTTTCGTTATACAAGTGTGTGCTGTGTAGCTTCATCTCTTAGTAATTTTTTGGTTTTAAACTAACTGAATAATTGAAATGATTCGATGTTTAATCTGTTTATATTTTGTAGGAGATGGTGCACTTCGCCCAAATCTTTCAGAATTACCAACCAACATATTCCCACCTTCAGCTCCTAGTGCTGCTGACGATGGGGTATTTTTAGAGTTATTCATTTTGCCTTTTCAAAACCAAAAGTCAGAGGGTTTTTTTCTTGAACATCAAAAATCTTCAAAATTTTGTGAAAGAATTTGAGATCATTAAAGTATTTTTTATTGACATTAAAATAGTGTAAATATTTCATAAAGTTTTTATTTCGATGGTTAACTTATAATCGGAATCAAAATCTGTTTCAGTGTTGCATTCTTTGCTTTTCCATTTCATTTTTAATTCTTACTTTTATAGCTAAGCAAGCGTCTAGCAGACATCAAAAGATTATCTGGTCGTATAACCATCATGAATACAGTGTACGATACAACAAAAGAAAGTTTGAAAAGGATGGGAGAGCTGGGTTCTGGCACTTGTGGTGTTGTGTATAGAGCTCGGTTTGAGCAAACAGGAACAATTATGGCTGTTAAGGTTTTAACTTATTGTGATGAATTATTGAAAATTGTCAGTATTTCAATATCCGATTTTAAGATATCTTATTGTTTGTGATCCATATATATATGTAGTCCTTTAATGTTATTCCATTCTACAATCATATCTTATTCTTATCTTTTTAATTTGCTTCTTCACTTTATCATTCCTAGTGCAGCAAATGGCTATGACATCAGTCGCGGAAGAAAATAAACGTGTTTTGATGGACTTGGAAGTGGTACTCCGTTCACACGATTGTCCGCATATTGTACGATGCTATGGATGTTTCATTACTGATGTAAACTAATTTTCTACAATTTTCACAATTTATTATTAAATAAAATGTTGTTTTATTTTGAAATGTGCTTACATCATGATAGATGCCAATTTTGTTCGCAATTTCTAAACTAGATTATCGCGATTTGTTCCAAAAAAAAATCATGCATTAATTTAGATAGATCTCCATTGGAATGTTGCAAGTCCACTACTATAATCTCATAGACCTTATTCTATAATATAAAGATTTCGTTTAGCGCTTGCAATTTTTTTCGATTTAGATTAACTTCATGTCCAATTCTATATTGAGAGCACCTTGGTCTGAATTTGTCTGTTGATTTCAGTTTGAAGTGTTAATTTGTATGGAATTGATGGCAACATGTCTAGACAAACTCTCGAAACGAGTAAAAGGCGGCTTCCCAGAAGTTATTCTTGGAAAAATGGCCGTCTCAATTATAAAAGCTTTGGATTATCTCAAGGTTTCTCAGGTACAGTTTTTTTTCTCCGTTAATATGCTGTTATTAGATTTGATCATTTTCATATCATATTAAGTTTATATATCTTACAAATTGCATTTGTGATTTTATATTATGATTTAATCATTAAACGATGTTAACTCCGTTTTGGCATTTTTTCCTCCAGATAATGATGCTCATAGTAGTAGTTGCATAAATCATAAATAAATGAATGATAAATAAGAAATGGAATTAAAGCCAAAAGTTATTTTATTCTGTAGCTAAATTATCGTGCCAACGATTTACAGAATATAATTCATCGAGACGTAAAACCATCGAATATATTGCTTGATTTGAATGGAACAGTAAAACTTTGTGACTTTGGAATAGCTGGGCGTTTAGTTGATTCCATGGCTCGAACTGGAACAGTTGGTTGTTCTGCCTATATGTCGGTCAGTAGAAACATTTTGACTGAAATAGTGCTTTAAAAAGCAACATAAAAAATTATGAATAAAGATGAGCTTATAATTAATCTAGGAAGAAATTTTTGATTCAATTTGAAGTCATGTATTTGTAAGTCATTTGTTCAGTTTTGCATTTTTTCACAATATGCTTTTTTTATTATCATATCAACCATTTAATTTTCTGATCTGAAATCGTGTATATAGCCTGAACGTCTGGAAGCACAAAAAAAGTATGACGTTCGAGCTGATGTGTGGAGTGTTGGAATTTCTTTGGTGGAATTAGCTAAAGGTGAATATCCTTATCGTGGTTGTAAAACTGAATTTGAAGTGTTGTCAAGAATTGTTTACGAGCCAGCACCGACATTACAGCCTGAAGAAGGGTTTTCTCCGGTGTTTTGCGATTTTGTTCGTCTTTGCCTTACCAAGGACTATCACGTGCGACCAAAGTATAAAGAACTTTTGGTAAATCTCTTGAAAATTTTGTATCACTCTTTCTTATTGTTAAATTTAATGCAAATGCAGAGGAAAATTACTAATATAAAACTTTTCGGCTTATTTCTCTCAAATTTTCGTAAGAATATTATAATTCTACTAAATGGTCTGTGTAAACAGTAAATTACAGTGAGGATACATTTGAAAATGTATTTGGTCTTAATCGCTCATAATAACCATGTTTAGGGAATTTTACAGTAATATAGAATTACTGTATTGGGAATAGATATTAATTTGTCTTTCTTTGTTTTTATATCAAAGATTTTGAGTCACTGAAGTACAGAACAAAATAAACCTTAATGAAGTTTAATTATAGCAACATGAATGGATGGTGTATTTTGAAAGTGCTCAAGTGGATGTGGCTGGTTGGTATCAGTCTATTATTCTTCACAGTTAATGATATAAATTTACATCGTTCATTATTGTACAGGTGAAATCTCGAAAAATGTTAAACTTTGTCAAAATCTGATTAAATTCATTGGAAGTAATGTGGAGGAAGTAGAAAAATGCATAATAAAAAGGACAGGAGTGCTCACAATAGTTCATTTTTGTAAGTAGGATCTTTCGTGAACTTTTCGATGTTTATTATGGAAATGAGTTATGGTTTAATTTGCTTGTGTAAATTTCTTGCTGCATTCATAGCATAATGTTATAATTGTTATCGCAAATTGCATTCTGCAGCGCAAAAATTCTTTTTTTCCGCTGTTATTTCTAAAATTATTGATTACAGGGGATAAATCAGTATACCTAACACTGCTATTGTTTTGGTATTTAATGTGCAATGTTATTAAAGTGCTTGAAGTTGTTTTCTTCCATATTTAGTCTGTTGTTATACTGAAATTGAAAGTGCCAATTGCAACATCAGTGCTATCAGTGTTTATAGTCCATTAAGCTTATGACAAATCACAGTGTTGATTATATGTAAAATGAATTCGCTAATGCTTATTTTTCTGCAGTCGTTTTTCAGAAGTATACTTGTTCATCTCAATAATTATAAATTTTTATTATTTGCTACTAAATTATTGTTTAACCTTGATGCGAAACTGGTATTTGATTTTTCACTTTCTGAATTTGCATTGTTATGACAATAAACTACTGCTTGACTTATGAAAAAAATGCATAATCAGGACAGAAAAATATTATCGCAGGGATCACTAATTTTGTCATTTTTGAAGTTTTTAAAAAATTGAGCGAAAGAATTAGTCTTTATAAGTACCTATGTTTGCCTTTCAGCTCATTTGATTTCTAATTCTGTACATTCAAAGGCAATATCGGCACTTCTGTTGTGTGAAAATAGTTGAAATCCTTGGGATGTCCACAGTGAATCATTTCAATGTCGTCGATAAACTTCTGCGCACTGCTTTAAGCAAACTATCTTATAGCTCTGGCAAGAATTTGCGCTTAATTTTGACTTAGGCGGAGTGGTTTTTACAAAAATATTTCAATTTTACTAAAATATATTAGTAATCCCTGGTTATTAGAATCCAGTTTGATATTGCTCTCGAGATTTATTTTTATTCAAGGGGTGATAGTACTGAGGAGTGTTTTTCCTGTTTCGTTAGCTAGCATTTGATGGATGATAGTTATATGAAGAAAGTAAGCGCTTGAGAAGTATTCTTCTGTGATAAACAGTATGGAAAAGAAAATACCTTGACATTGCCATGTTCTGAACTATGGTGGAGAGTCTAACGTGGTATGTGTTAAGAAACTTGGTTTTTGAAAAGTAAGCATTCAAATTAGTTCCTATACATTATGATAAACAGACAAGTATTTAGTGCTAGCTATTTTTTGTAGTGAAAAATTTTTATAGTACATATTTACTAAACTATAAAATTTTGCATATCTCAAATCTAAAGCAGTCGTTTTTGAGGCTATCGCAGGAATCAGTTGAATCAGTTGCTTTTTATGCGGAAGTGAGAGGTGAAGATGTCTTCTATTGAATGGAAGGTTTCGCAGTTATGTGTTAGTTTTAATTAATTAATTGACTTGATAACTGTAATTCAGTTGACAATTTATTTTTTATAATGTGGGGCACTTCTATTTTTTGAGTAGTTTATTTTTTAATTATTTTTGAAGTTAAACTAACTTCATAACTTTATAATTTATTTCTATATATATCGAAATAATTTACTTGTGATTTAAAAATTTGTTTGTCAGATTGATATAATTTTTCATTTTGAGTAAAACGAAACTAAGTTAGTTCCTAACTTTAAAATATTTCCTAATTTATTATGTAGTTCCATTTATTATCTCAGCATAGTCCTTAATAATTAAAACTCATTCATTTGCAGTTTAAGAATCTTCTGCAAGAAAGTTTAAGAATCTTAAGTAATTGAAATAATTTCATTTAATATTTAAGGATTTGTTTCCATGGTTAACCGCTGACCATGCTCATTCACTACTCTCAGATGTAAATGAGATTTTGGATGATGCAATTGAAATAGCATTAAGAATATCAGACAATACACCTAACACGTCAACTTCTTCATGTGAACAGTCAGACCAAGAACGATATTCTATGCTTACAGCTCTAGTAAATCCGTCACAAACATTGACATCACCATCACCACCATTATTAGATTTAACTGAATGTCAGTCAGTGGTTAAAAATTTGCACCCGAAAAAGTTTCTATTGACCACAGAACCGAAGTAATCTTTTCCTTCTTGGCTTTCAGTTAATAATCGATTAGAAATACAGAGTTTTTTTATGAAGTATAGTTTATTCATTGTTTTGAGAAATTGAACGACGCTCACGAAATGGTTTCAAACGTGTTTTCAGTCATGTGCATCACATAATACTTATTTCTGAGAATCATTAGAATAGACACTAGATTTGAATCCATCCATTAATTCACTCTTTTCTGCTCTGATCACTGAGGAAATTTAATCAGAAAATGCAACGCACACTATCTTATTACTGTCTTTATTAAGATCTGTACTGCTTCAAATGAGTAAGTTTTTCTTGTGCCTAGTATTTCTCTTTTTTCTTGAGAGTAATTTAACTTTCAGGCATCTTCTTGTAAAATTAAGATTCGTTATCTCAGAAGAAGGCGTACCGAAAGAGCAAATCGGATATATGCTTAGGAAGAACTTACGAAATGCATGTTTTTTCCATTTTCATACTTTGAGTTTTGGCGTAGATGTTTTTCATACTTTTGAATTTCATTCATGAATACTTATATTTATGAAGAGAGGTCAGCTCTTATCATTATTCATAAATGCTCAAATTACTGGTATCATTAGAGTCAGAAAAATATCTGAGTTTATTTTTGAAAGTTCAGAATGTTGCTTTTTGTTGCTTAAATGATGAAAGTAAGTTCTGCAAGGTGTTATCCAACCTACCATATTTATGTTTCAATAAAAATTTGTGGTCTCGATCTAAGAGTTTCTAGACATGCGCGATGAGAAATTTTTAGAAAAATCTTCTAGCAGATTTTATGAGAATTACAAAGGTGGGAGAATATATTTGCAGTGCAATTGCTCGATTCGATCATTTGATCGAATAAATTCTTGCTTGCAAGCTTCATATGAGGAAAAATGTGTCGAAGTCTATGTTGCAGTGGAGTTATTATGCTCTGAGAAATCTGTCCGAGAGATTTTGATAGACTTTATAAAATCGTTTAACAATGAATCGGGGTAAGTGGGCATCATTTTTGTTCAATGTTGTGACTGATTTTTGACTCCAGTTTTTTTCTGATATTTAGATATGGTCTTGAGATGCAGCCTTATTTAGAAGTACGAAATATCGATCAAATATTTACAGACACAAAGTTAGTTGAAGAAATTTCTCCTCTTATAATTTACCAGAAATGAGAATCTTTTTTGAAGAATTTCAGAAGTATTCAAATTAAGACAGTAGTAGAATCAATTCAAAACTATGATAAACTATGAAGAAAATCTAGTTAATAATTGTGAGATTTATAGCAGTGAAAAAGTAGTTGACAAACGAAGTGAGGACGAAGTTCGAAATTTTCTTTAGGGTTTATGTTTCATTGTTGAATAAATGATTTTTACATCTCTGAAACATATTTGGATAAATTAAGTTTATAAAGTTCATAGTTTTTTTCACACCTTTTTATATCACTGTTTTTTGTTTTCAAGGCTGGTGGCTTCGTTTTTCTTTGCTTGTCTAGGATTTTTATTTTATATTTATATAGCATTAATTCCATAGGTCACGAAATTCCTATTCTTCTGAAGTTTTTTTAATCATTTAAACTTGGAGGTTTCACGAAACACTTTTTGTTTCGAGATCTTTTCATTCTAATGAATGTCATGGAATTTTATTTTTAGAACTGATCATGAAAACGTTGATATTTTGTGGTTAGGAATTGGTAACATGCCTAATTTCGGGTTATTTTTCATACGTGGTGAATATGTAACAAAGTATAACACGGAAAGTAACAAGTTAATCTTAAATCCTGTCAGTGAAACAAAAATAAACAATGCTACTGGTTAGTGTCACTAAACTATTATTAATACTTCACGAAAGATGTGTGCTTAATTTTTAATAATTTATATGAGTCTCAAAAAATTTTTGAAATTTATGAAAGTGTACCTGATTAAGCAATTTGACATATTTTCAATCTTTTTTCCTACTGAAGATAATTAAATCAGTCAAGAGGCTAATGACTTTATTTTTTTTATAACATTATTATTATTATTCATCAGCCTTTAACTTGAGGTAGTCATATGCTTCTGTCCTGGGCGCATTTTGAACATGATCGACGTGTATTGACTATATATTTTGCTATTGAACATGTCGTAGCTCATGATGGATTATCATATATAGGCTATAAATTTGTTATTACATACAATTCATTTCATATGGTTGTCGTTGATTGTGATTTGGATCCGGACGAAAGAGATAATCACGTTTATATTTGCTTAAGGCATCCTCCGCAGGTTAGTTTAACTGTTAGCTTTCTTGATATTGTGTCATACTTTTACTGAGTGAGCAGTACTTTCTCTGATATTCATGTTACAAAAATTTGACTTGCCAGTTATGAAGCAGAATTAGTTATTAAGACTTAGTTTTCAGTTATGGGAAGCAGTACCGCGAGTTATAAATGGAAGACGTGTTTTAAATCTTGAGCAATGTCGTGAATGGTTGCGTGCGAAAAGCTTTCCTGGGAATAAATACTTTGCTGGTTGTTCTCAGGTATATTAAATAATGGTACTGATATCAGTCGATACAACTGATGATTGGTAGTATTATTTACTTTATCAATATTTTCCATGCGGTAATATTTTTATCTTTAGTAATTGTAGTTATTATTGAATGTTTGGTTCTTCAGGCTTCAAAAAAAATTTAAAAAAGCCAAGCTTCAAAATTAAATCGATGTGATATGTGGTTTACTTTGATTCAGAAAACGCTAGCAGAATCACAATGGATTAGTTTTTCGATGCCTAAGGAAACTATAAAACCAGAACGAATGTTTCCGGATGAAGTATTGGATTGGGATAGGCGAAGTGCTACCACTAAGATGGTGATTGACCTATTTATTTATACTTTTTTTATTTTTAGCAGTTAAGTTGTTCAAATATTTCTTTTCTACTGTCACTATATTTTTGCACAAAATACAATCTCTTCCTCATGGAAAATATGACTAAATAATTCATGATTGTTCCATAGGGATATATCAACCCGGATTTAATTAAAACTTCTGTAGTGTCTACTAAGTAAATTCTCATTCTTCTAGCACAGTTTCTGAGTAAATTGTAAAAGCTGTTATCAGTTCATTAGCTCCCTTCTTTATAGATGCCAACATTCCAGTTATTCGAAATTATTGCGCGATGGAGTCGTCGAGCAAAATGTAAAATATATTTTGCAGGAATCATGAAAATACCGCGGCGTGAACCTTCAAATATATTTATTACAAAGCTTCCGTCGTTTAGGTAAAAGTTTGTAGTAATTAATGTATGTGGATGTATGAATCCTTCTAAGCATCTTGAGTGGTATTCCGTTTTATTTATGATAGAGAAATTATTAAACTAAGCGCTTTTTCCGAAAGTGCCAGCCTATTTTACTTTTAATGCCTTCATAATTACAGTAATAATTTCGTATTTAAGACTTAATTATACTATGGAAGCATTACTCAGCAGAGGAAGTGTAGTGAAAGACCAACTTTTTGATGTTCGTCCACCTTTCCGAAATAATTTGTTTTTCGAGCGTATTATTCACTGTGCTCAAGTAATGGAATATGTTTTAATCTTATATTTCAGTCTTGCATTTCGAGGAAGATTTTTTTAGTGTTTATATTTATTAGCAGCTTGTCGAAAATTTAAGACTTCATTACTGAAGAAGAAAGTTTTTACATTTTTGTCAAAGAATATAATGCGAATTGGGGCCTACCAAAAATCTTTTAAATAAAACATTTAAATGTTGATGATGAAGCGTTATCTATTTTATAAGCTTAGGAATGTCTCACAGCTTGTGAAGAAACGTTAGATAGTGCTTTAGCAGCTATTGATGAAAGACGTCGTATTTCACTGCTAAAATTTTTCGAGCATGTTTATCCCAAGAAATTAAAAGCAGTGCAAAATGGCTTAAGTGGAGAAGAAATTGGTAGTGTTTCTGATCTACCTCACAACTGTGTATTAATTCGAAAGGTGTGGTATTCACTTTGAAAAGTAATTAATTTTGTGCGTGACTGTGCACTAGCACTTTTTCACATTTTTAAAATTTTTATTATTTGAGCCGGCAAATACTACTTTGGTCCATTAATTCGCAATGTATGTTGAAGCACCAACTGATAAAAATATTACTTGCTGCTTCAGTAGTGAGGAGAAAGAATGGTAGCGATTAGATTTTCCCGGAGATGATTAATTTCAGGTCGTAGTAAGTCCACTCAGAATTTTACTTCTGCCCCCAGAAGTTATGATGACTAATCGTGTCGTACGTTATTTTGGAGAAGAATACGCTCTGCGTTGCATATTTCGAGATGATAACGGCCAGCGTCTCTCTTCCAAGGAATTTTCTCGTGGTCGTGCTCTGCAAGGTCTATTTCTTTACTATAACTTCGTCCTTCGTATACTTTTTTAAATGAAGTTCAGTTAGAAGTCGTTTTTTTAAAAAGTGCTTTACTAACGCTTGACATGAAGGTCAGCAGCTGATAAAATATGGTGGTAATGCCTGTGAATATTTGGATGGTCATACAACAATAGTTGCAAATTGTTAGGATCATATTATATTTCCGCGATGAAGAAAGTTTGATTCCAGACCAGTCCTTAGTAATTCCGAATTTAGTTTACTCTACACTTGGAGCAGGGCTTCATATAGCATCACGACATTATCAATTTTTAGCATGGTCAAATTCGCAGGTATATAAAAATTTTGCAATATTGAAGAATGATTTTTTTCGTATGCACTGTGCAATTACTGCAACATGAATTATCCCTTCATCATTAGAGAAAACTAAAAATTATTCATTGATTGCCATTTGACTGTAATACTGAAGTTTACAATATTAGAAATTATGATGCAAAATCAAATGGTTCTCAATTTATTTTTGACGTTTTAAAACTTATAAATTATACAGTATTAAATCATGCGAACAATTTTTAATATGAAGAATTTTTATTAAGTATGTATCATGTTAGCATATATTTTTGAGTGAAAACATTCGCATGTTTCGGATTTCATGAAAAATCGAATAATTAATTGAGATGCGTGATGGTGGTTGTTATATGTATTCGAATGCTATTGTAAATGATGAATTACGTGGTGAGATAGTCTACACTATCGAAGATATCCGACGTTGGATGGGAGACTTTACAGCTTCCAAAAGTGTTCCAAAATTGATGTCGCGCATGGGGCAGTGCTTCACTCAAGCTCAGGTAACGGAATATCATCTTGTAAATTTCAAATGGTTTTTTTGTTATCTGCTAATAGCGATAGTTATCTGCCCTTATTTTCGACCCATCGCTTTCGTATATCACACCGTTACAAATTTCAGTTCTTCAGTGTTTCCTCGAAACAATATGTTGGAGCTATTTGCATATTTGCTCGTGATTTTTTCCACGTACGTGTAAAAAATTTTTGACATTTAGCCAACAATACTGCTGAACAAAGATGATTGGAAACTGGAAGATGATATCATTGGTGGTATTGTACATCCAGAAACTGGTGAACATTTCAATTTCTCAGATGGTGTGGGGAGAATTTCTCAAAAGTATGCTGATCGCATTGCTAAAATTTTGAACTTGCAGATGACTCCATCATGTTATCAGGTAGTATTAGATATTTTATTCCACTCTTGTTTGCTTGAAATATTCATTTTGTGAGTTTTAGTATTTTAAAATTTAAGGTCCGATTCAAAGGTTTCAAAGGTGTGCTTTGTGTAGACCCAGTGTTGGACAAATCTGATGAAGTAAATGTTATCTTCCGCAAGAGTCAGAAAAAGTTTCATGAAGATGAAAAGAGCAGTGCGGAACTAGAAATAGTGAAATATTCAATGCCTTCACCTGTTTGTTTAAATCGACCGCTTGTCATGATTTTAGACCAGGTCAAAATTAAATTATATAATTTTGTATTATTGGATTTGGTCCCTTGAAGTTAAGTAAAGAAATTGCTGCAATTATATATTATATTAAGCAGCTACGGATTTTTAAGGTTTCGAAGAAGCAAGGCCTACATTTACATAAGAAGGTTTGTAGTCGAATACGCTCACTTTTAGAAATGGAGCTCAACAAGCTTGCTGGTTCTTTTATCATCTTTTTCTGCAGCATTTTGTCACTAAACTTGCAGATTTTGTTAAGAATATGTAAATTGCTCTATTTTTATTGCTAGAAAGTGGGAAGCTTTTTGCTTCTTTTTTGTGCTTTCTGTAAATAAATTCCTGTAAGTTTTGATTAAGTCTCAAATTTTAAACTATTTCATTCTGATCTATATGCACATGATACATTTCAAAATGTCATACTGGTTTCCGGATGTAATTTTATTTCTCAGTATTGTATTAATTTTTTTTCGCAGGGATGATGTGCAATGAAAATGAAGCTACTGAAGAATTAAGTTCACGCCTATTCCTTCCAATTGACTTCCATCAGTTGCACAGTAGTGGTATTTTCTTCACTAATGAGCCATTTTTTCGATCATTATTGGTTGCGATATATCGATACAATATAAGTAAAGTTTTTGGAATGCTATGAATCAGGCAAATAAATAATAAAATTTGATTTCGTTTAGTTTTTCAGTTGTGACTTTGAGAGCTGTTGATCAATTTCATGTGATGAATACTGTAAAGTTTTTATTTCTTTGAATAGATAGGTATTTTTTTGCTTGTCAGTTAAATTTATCATTTTTTGTATGTATGTAATAATGTTTAAAATAATGTTTCAGATATTTCTTTGTGCTACTTGCTTACGTTAATAGGAGTTGAAATAGAAAGAGTATTTTTTGCAGAGATATATTTGAGCAAGTCAAAAATTTTCCTACCTGAATCTGGAGGGCGAACGATGTATGGTGTGGTTGATAATACTGGATTACTACAATATGGACAAGTTTTTGTACAGTATTCGTCCTCTTTAAAGTATGCTACGCAAAACAGAATCGTTCATACTGGTATTTTCATATTCTTTCATTTTGGTTATTTTTATTTCATATCAAGTTGTTAAAACCACATCACTTCCATCTTGATGTATGAAACAGCAATGTTGAATCCATTATTTGATTGAATTTAAGGTACAGTCTATCAGTATTCAAATATTAATTGTGGAACGTAATATTTTTCTTTGAAAATTTGCATTGCTTCATGTAAGTTGTGAAGAAGACATTAGATTACCAGTTGTTGAAGTTGTTCCTTGTTTAATTTGTTTTTGCATTTCTGAAGCTTTTCTAGATTCTCCTTTTAAGGTCCTGTTATGGTATCAAAAAATCCATGTCATGTTGCTGGCGATGTGCGTATGTTTGAAGCAATTTATCAAGATGCTTTGTTGCATCTTTATGATGTCATTGTTTTTCCTCGACATGGTCCTCGTCCACATCCTGATGAAATGGCTGGTTAGACATAATATAAATTGACTTGTTGAATTACTTCAGGCATGAATTCATTTTTCGCTTATGGTGTAAAATTTTCAAGTTCTATATTTGCGCCTGAATTGAAAGTCACAAATTATAACGATTTGCATTTTTCATTTGTCTTCATTTATATGCCCAATTGAACTTTGTATGTGATTATTTTAGGTAGTGATTTGGATGGTGATGAGTATACAGTTATTTTTGATAAAGAACTGTTCTTCTCTAGAAATGAAGATGCTATGTTTTTTCCGAAATCAATACCTATTGAATATGATGCGCTTCCAACTGTATATTTTCTTGTTTTTGTTAAGTCAAAATATTTAGAAGTAGAGTATGTGGAATTTCTGCAATGGCTCACTTCATATTTGTTGCAAGTTTCTGTGTAGAAACTTTTTTTTAAAACTACAACTTTGGTATTGCAATTTGCTATAACTATTCCACTGATATGTAAAAACTTAGTGTCAAAAATTCATCTAATATTTAATGGAATTTAAGAAACGTCAAGTATTATTTACAGAACGAAGACATGATTGATTTTTTTTTGAAATATCTGAGCCAAGATTCAGTCGGTCGTATGTCAAATGCTCATTTAATTATGTGCGATAGGCTTGGTCTTTTCCAGTTAGTTTTTATTATTTTTTGTGTACAATTTTAAGTTTTATATTTGCGCCTGAATTGAAAATTACGAATTATAACGTTTTTCATTTTTTATTTTTTTTCATTTAAAATGTTTATGGATCCTATGCACATTAAATTCCTGAAGTGTAAGCAAATTCTCAAGCATTACGTCACGGAAGGAATGAATGGTGTGAATTGTTTTCAGTGAAGTTTCTGAAGGAATTGCTCGAAAATGTGCTATTGCTGTAGATTTTCCAAAAACTGGTGAACCAGCTGATCCGTTGACACTATATGAACAGAGTGAATTTGTCCCTGATTATATGCAAAATATTTTTAAGCCATCATACAGAAGCAAACGGCTTCTTGGTGAATTGTACAGGTTAATTAATTTATCATTTAATTAATCCACGACTTAAGAATTTGTTGTGAAATTCAGGAAAAAATTATAAGAGCTGGAAAAAGATTCGTTAACGTTTGAGCTATATTGTGTTACATTATTATACTGAAAACTCTTTTCAGCCTTAAGCCATGAATGAAAAAAAAAGGAAATTTCAGAAGGGCCAAAAAAGTTGAAGATATTTTGGAACTAGTTAAAGAATCAAAGTTCGCTGATTACTGTGATTCAGAGCTGTGCGATGGTAGTTTGTTTAATGAGCAGCCGGAACTTATTGAAAGAAGCTTACATTTGAGGAATGAATACAATGCAAAGATACAGGTTTGTATTTCAAATATGCGCTTATTAAAATTTTGAGCATTTTCATCAATATTTATAACAATTTCAATCTGAACAATTTGTGTGGGACAATATAAAGGCTTTAGTTGAAACTGTTTTTACGAGGATCAATTCGTTAATTTGGTTATTGATAGTGTTATTTGGGAGTTATCAATTCTGCTTATAAATTGTGCCGGAAGTACTGACATTTGTCATGATATTTTCATGAATAATGCTATCAAAACACGCTCGCATTGCCGATAAAACTGAAAAAATAGCCATTTCTAAAAATTTTTAGCAATTATTGGATGAATATACGATTCCTGATGAAGCCTCGTTAATATCCGGTCACAGTATAACAATTAAGAGAATAACAGAAATGGAAAAAGATGACTATTCCTTTTACCATTCAGATAAAATTGTCGAACTGCGATATAGCCGCATTTTTGCGTACTTTAGGCGTGAATTCTTCAGAGTATTCATACATTGTTTTACCGAATAAAGTATTCCACAGTAAATTATTATTAATGGCAATATAACTCTATAAAATAATTAAATAACATCTTTAACTATCACTGTTCTAAAAAGTTATTGAAATTAACGATGTATGTTTAGGAATTTGGGGAAGAATCAGATTTTTTAACAGTCGATAGATCTAAAAAACGTGGAGTACGTTGGAACTCTGCGTTGATTACGAAAGCGAAGGCATGGTATGCAGTGACATACGCCAGTAATTATAGATCAGCTTCTAAATTTCTATCTTTTCCTTGGATCGTTTGGGATATTTTGCTTATCGCTAAACGTCAAATTGTGAGTTCGCGTTGCAGATAGCGCACGTTAAAATAAATCCTCTTGTCTTAAAATACTGGTAACTTTGAAATCAAATAGTAATGGATCTTCTTGTCGATAAATTTTTCGCTTCATCTATAGCGTAAAAGTTTAAGTCATGTTTCAGGCACTTGTACTAAAGTCTCCACCACTGCTGATTAATCCTTTAACCATTTATTTATCGCAGGAAATCGAAAAATTCTGCTATGCACGTCGTTATGCACTCAAACAGTTTATTGGTGATATGACTCAAGGTACCTCACGACTTGAATCATTCGTGAAATACTCACGAAGGTATAATTCTGTGGTCATAAATTCCAAATCTGAAATGTTATTAGAATTTATTTGCAGAGATCAAAGTAAAAAAATTCCATGCCAATTTTTTACTTTAGTTTTCAGTTAATCAGGGAGTTTCGTGTCGAAATTTTATTTTCATAGCTTTGTTTTGTAGATATGGATCTAAAGTAGATATGCTTTGTTTTGTTATTGATAACTGGTTAAAATCAGAAGGTGTGTACGAAAAGTCGGCATTGAGACGAATCCATGCGGTCATATTATTCTTGCAGTTTGCAGTGGGAATACTGCATGGAAAGCAAACATCTGCAGAATTGTACAAACACCCCATTTATTTCCAAAAAGTAATGCAGCGCGAAATAGTATTGTAATTAATATATAATTACAATTTAATTTGATCATTTAATTATTCAAATTGTTTGACTTTTAAAATTCTTAGACAAAATAGTTCTTTCATAACATTATTTGAAGCAGTCAACTTTTCACGGTTTTATATTCAAGGAACTCCAAGTCTTGTGTTTCTCAGTGTAAATAAAAAGTATAATTGATATCTATTACAGTTTCATAATTAAGAAACAGTCACTTCCCATATTGATTGGAAGCTTTCATTTACAAACATTTTCCTTTTTGAATAAGTAATCAGGAATCATTCACCTAAAGAATAGTTAATTAACATGACCCTTACACTAAGGTCGTTGTAAATGTTAGCAAAAGAAAACAATGATCTGATTTGGTTTTTCAAAGAATCTTCGTTATTATCATATATGAAGCCTTAAGCGATGACAGTATCTTACTGTAAATAACTACAGTTATTCAGCTGGATGATCTAGAGAGTAAGGCGGAAAGTATCGAGATTCCGTACAATACTGGTGAAATTTTGTTTGCTTTCTTGCGCTACTTGGCAAGTGAGCAGTTTGCTCATGCGAACTTTATACAATTTCGTCTGGGAGACATGATCGTTGGAAGTAATTCTGCTCCAATTTTTACGAGATCATCGCAGTGGTCTGCTCTCCATGCAGTAAAGTTTTTTTGAAATCAGAAGTGATTTTTTTTGCCAGATTTCTACATCATAGCAGATAACACACATATTTCTCTCTATAGTCTATAAACACACACAGTATATCTTGATTACAACTGAGAAACTAAGATAGCACAACTAAGAAACAAAAGTTTTGAAATGTGACTATGAATCCAGTTCGGCGTGAATTATCTGAATTTTAATCCTTTAACCGCAGAATGACACTAAATCGAAACTATTTAAAATTGAAAGTTTTTTTGATGCGTAGATATAATAACAGGTTGCGTTTCGGGCGTTTCATTATACCGCGATAACTGCCAGATTCGATGCTCTCCATATCATTCAAAGTCATGATGTGGAAAAAACATGTAGTAGCATTGACGACAAAGAATGGGATTTTGGAGAAACAGAATTTCCTGTCGTCGCATCCAGTCAACTTTGCAGTCATAAAGATATTAGCATGCAACGAATAAATGCCACACTGAAGGCTAGTTTTGTCAAGTAGTTCTTTCATGTATGTAAGTGGACTTAGTTAACCTTCGTCCTATACAACTTTAATATTACTTACTGTAAATTACATCCATTTTAGCATTTTATGAGTCTGAATTACGTAGTATTTACATTTCCTAGTAAGATATGTACCTTTTCAGTCACTTATCACAAGTGAAACAAAAGTAGTTTGAACTTAATAGTGAATGAAATAATCATATCTACTACATACGATGGGCTTATTTCATGAGAATAGTAACTGTTCAGATGATTTCAATTTGAACTTCTGATAATTTCCCACGCAACGAAACATTGATAAACAGATACTCGAAGTAACGAATTTCAGAAGTGGTCTGGTGTTCATCAGATAATGAGCCGTGTTACGAAACGTGAACAGTTCTTGGTTAGTTGCACGGGGAGTGCAGTAGCCAGACAGCGACTGCATCGAATACTTCTTATGGAGCCAGAGTTGCTTCTAGAGGCTATACAAACGAATACTATACCCAGAGAAGCTCGTGATGAATATTTATAGAAATTACGAAATTTTTGTGAAGATTTAATTTAAACTTGCACTAATAAGTTCTGATCTAGCTTTGAGCAATAAAATCGAGTGACGATCCTGTAAAGCACTTAAACTTTTGATTACTAAAAGGTTTATATAGTGATAATGGATTTCTTAGGATGTACGAAGCACCTTGTTTTTATCGAGGCAACTTCATGCGTTCTTAAATTGGTTCTCATTGGTGACCTAAACATACAAAACTGTATAAGTTACTTACCCAAGTCTTTCGTCTATAGAAACATCAATCTGGGAAACATCTGATCGCAACGACAGTAGCACTATTTGTTTACAAGATTGTACGAGATGGTTTGGAATTCTACACGGAAATCCCCTCAAACAATCTGTCCCTGTAACTTCTGCAGGAGCAAATTTAAATGTTGGGGCGTAAAATATGGAAGACTTTCGAAAATCATCCCACATAGTCATGCAATGGAGCAACATTGTTATAGACCATACTAGTCATATTAGTCAAAAACACTCTCACCAACACTAGTAATCGTGTGTTGTGCTGGTTAAACTCCAGACTTGAAATTTTCTGAAAATATGCAAAAGTTGAGCCTCAAAAGTATTAAGTAATGTATGTAGAAGAACGGCTCCCCTTATTCTTGAGATAATATTCAAATCCTAGATAATTCTGAAATTTTAAATGTCTGCACTAATAGTAATGTTTATGTGACAAAGTTAACAGCATAAAAGTTTTATAATTTCGATTATAACTAATAATTAGAACAAGTGATGTTAGTATAATTTGCATCGGAATCCAAAATTCTACAATTTTTGCTCGTAACGGTAATTTTAAGACGGTATTATATTAAACAACAATAATGCATAAAAGATGAGAAAAAATGCGACCGGGCTACGATAATTTCACACACAAGGTTGTCTCTTCTAATCTATTTATAAAAACAGAAAGTTCTCGATACAGAAATGGGAGAAAAAGAGTTATTTTCTATGAATCAAAGCACAAATTATACAGATCAATTGATGTAAGACTGTTTTGAAAATACTGTTGGCAACGCTATTTACTAGCAGTCATTACAAATGATCTCTCACACGGAAACATCATTCTTGGAATAAAAATTAGGTGGAATGTGACGCACATGAAAAGACAACATGACTTCTTTGCCAGCAGTGTAGATAGGATATTATAATTAGTGAGAAGCTCTGTGTAAAATAGAACTAAAATTTGTTTCAAGAGAAAAGCTTCAAAAAGTGCACGGAGAATAATGGCTAACTCTGGAATAGAGAATGAACGAATAACTCATAGTCCAATGCTCCTGGAACCGATCTACCAGAAATAGCATCTGTGTAAGGTTTCATGCGTTTGATACAATATTCAGCCTGTTCGGGAGAGAGATTCTGAAAATATATTGCTTACTATTACTTAATTTCTTTCAAATTTCATTCTTCAATCCTACCTACGCAAAAGTAAAGCGTCATAGGATTCGTTCTTCTCCATTAATATTTACAGGATTTTACAACACAACAACTTGTGCGATAAAGATAAGTTGTATAATTATACTCTTATTTATAAAAACATATCCCTCGCCAATAAAACCGTGCGGTTAAAAACCATGCATTAAAGTCTTTCTCGTCTGCTAGTTAATCATAACAATCATCTTGAAAATAAAAAGCTTAACTGTATGATTACATTTCTTAAATTTTGTAGCATAATTTTTGTCTACACGTAGAGTCACTGAATATATAATATTATGGCAAACTACCCCATTAAAAAAGATATATTTTTAAGTGATTTTTTGAAACCAAAATTTGAATGTCAAAACGTACAGCGTAAAGTTCCTCAGCCGTAACATATGGACGGAATTCTTTTGACAGTGCACGGAATGCGCTTTCAATTTCTTCACTAGACTGAATATTTTCTGTTTCTTTTGAAATCATAAATGCCATATATTCCTGCAGTGTAACGTAACCGTCTCGATTTGGATCTACTATATCTAAAATTCGCTGAAATTCTGGTTCTGGTTGTCCTTCGTCAACCATCGGCAAGTCGTACCCAAGTGCACGCAAACAACTTTTAAACTGCTGGTGATCAAGACGGCCACATTTTTCCTGAATACTTGATATTACTTTAAAAAAAATAAAAGATCTGTTTGTTTGAAGAGCTTTAACAAATTAATTCTTAGTAATTTAGCTATTCAATAATATATGGCTATACCTTATCAAAATGTTTGAACATCATAGAGAATTCTCGCAGAGCTTCTTCCGTTACACCAGACTGATTGCGCGCCTGAATCTGCTGCTCGAGATTGTGCTGCATTCTCATTGCGAGCTGATCAAGTTGATCCCAAGCTTGAGCTAAGCCAACAGTACTAAAAAGTGAATGAGACCTAAATACTTTGACAACAACTCAATAAACACTTGTTTTTTTATTTGCTTTCCCAGAAAAATTTGATATATAGAAAATAGATTTATAGAATCCGAAGATATCAAACAACCTTACAGTGAAATTAACAAAATCATATACCTGTGTTCAGTATAACGATTGTCCAGAATGAGATATTCTTCTAATAAAGCACCCAAATCTTCAATTTTTTTTAATTGAGCACGATTATTCTTAACATCTATCGCCTGCAACCAAACAGGACAAATGAGAAAATGTATCCAAATATTTGATCAAAAAATGTTTCGAGAAATTTGGACTAGTTTTATCTAGTGCATCATCATCAACTCAGAAATCAACTTGTTTGAGAACTCAAGCTGTATCAGAAAGAAAAATTTTGTAGAACACAAAATTACAAACAAAAAACTTACTTTCTTTTTTAGGAGCTCCAGCTGTTCCTCTAGTGTTCCACTTGTCTCCATCATTGCTGCGCGAGTTTCAGTAAGCCACTGATGGAATGCATTAGCTTGACGAGCAAAATCACGACGTAGTTTATCATTGTCTTCTTGACGACGATGTTCTTTTTGCAATTCAATTTCGCGTTCCTATAATTATAGTAGAAGAATCATCTGGTCAAAATTACATTGACATTTTGTCGAAATAAAGAAACCTAAAATGAATTATGGTGACCGAATATTCGTCAATTATTTAAAATAAATACAAAAAATAACAACGTAGTAAATGAACAAACTAAAGCAAATAATAACTTTAATTATTTTTTGCAAATTGCGCCAAGTTTCCTCCAGTGCATCCATTGTAAACCATGTATACGGATTAGGTCCTACATTGAATGATTTTATTTGCTTATCAAGCTGTTGCAATTGCTTGAAATCATCTTCAGCTGTAGACAAAGATTTGTGAAATTCGGCATGAGCTTCACGTAAAGCGCTAATTTCTTCAAGCGAATTACAACGCACAGGATCTGTTAAATCTTCTTCTGCATTTTCGAACCAGGAATTGAAAGCAGAAGCCTTAACAAGTAGAATTTGCATATATGCATTAAATTATTCATAAAAGGATTAAATTCTTTGATTGTGCACAATGATTAATAAGCAGATTAAACGAATAGCTGGCATATGACATTTAGCAACAAATACTTAAAAAAATCAGATATTTCAAAATACTTTCCATATAGCAAACTAACTTTTTTCGCAAACGTTAGATAAAGCTCTTCAATTTGTTTGTACTGATCTTGCATTTTAAGCAATCTTTGTCGCCGTGCTTCTGAATTTGCCAAAAGCTGTTGCCAACGTCCAATTACATTCCCGTGTCGCTTTTCAATATTTGGTGTTTGAGCATGACGTGCATTTACAAGTTGATCTTTCAGTTCCGTAATGCGCTGGATACCTTCATGCTCGAAGGCATTCAAGCCTGCGTCAAATGCTTCTTGCTTAGTTAGAAGAATTTGCACTGACGACAAATCACGTCCAAAATCATCCGATCGCACCTGTTGCTCTTTTTCCGCTGAAGAAGTTTCCAAATCTTACCAAGTTGCAATAGTGATTCTTTATAATGCTGAATTTCTGAAGAGAAAAGTTCACCAAATACTGACTCATATCTATTATATCTATATCTATCTCTATTTCCATTGTTTTAAATTTAAGTGAGAGCAGATGAACTATTAAAATGCAAGACATGATGCAAAAATTTTACCGATCCAGCTTTCAACAACATCACATTTCCACATAAACTGCAAATAGGCACTGTTATCTTGAAGACGTTGCAACCGACGACGAGCAAGTTCTGCAATCTCATCTAATCGTATGCGCAATTGATCACAGCGTGTTTTGATAGCTGGACTGTGATGATTTCCTGCATCTATCAGCTGAAAGCTATGATGAAAATTGCTAGCTATAAATAAATATAATAAATATTGCGAAGCTTTTTAAAAACATAGATTTGTGACAATTCTTATCTTCACTGTCTCAATAAACAATAATTGAAAGCTACCAAAAAATATCACCTATCCATATTATCTTTAAATATTAGTTATGGTGCTAAAGCAGCCATTGTTAACGCCATAATAGATTGTCATAAGTATTTCCATGATTTTTTTAAATTAAGAAACAAATATGCTTCCATGTATGTAAAATTCTAAATATAGGAGTACTTTTATTCCATCGGCAATGAGCTGATTGATACGCTGGGTGTGTAATGCCAAATCAGCCTCAAATGCGTCATGCTTCTTTAATAAACCTTGCACACCAGCCATATTTTCACCAAAATTATCTGATGATAATATCTGCTGTTTCTCATTCATCCATGCTTCCTCTTCTTCTACTTTGCCCACAAATATTTGAAAATCTTCACTCTCCCCAAGTTTTTGCTGCCTGAAACAAGCTTTCTTGCCAATGTAATATATACAATTTTCATTGATGCATTGATACTCCGCAAAAAAGCCAGAATTTTCGAACGTATTTATTTCTATGATATCAAACTTTTCAAGCCCAACCTCTTTCCTGTTATGGTCCGTATTTCATCCCAACTTTCTTCCAGAGCTTGCATGCGTTCCTTTATTTCTGAACCAGCAATATCCGAAAGATTTATCAGTTCTAAGCCTTTTTCTCGAACTAGATATACTTGTGATTCATGTGAGGCAAGCTCATTGTCAAGTCGACGATGCTTTTTACGCAAATTTTGCACACCTGTTAGATCACGTCCATAATCGTCACTCGAAACAAGTAATTTCTTTTCTCTGAAAAAAATACTTGGCAGTAAACAATGAGCTTCATAATAAATATAAAACAATTCTGTTTTGAAAAACAAAAGAAGATGCAGACTAACTTGATCCACGATTCTTCGTCATCAATATCCCGCAAAAACTGATAAACAGTAATAGCTTTGTTCAACTTTTCACGTCTAGTAATTGCCATTTCACGTACTTTTTCATAGCGATCATTTACAGCCTGTGTGAACAAACAACTATGCTTAGCAAATATTAAATAATACAACTGAAAAGTTATCATTTATCTATCAGATACACTTTTCGCTTATCTATACTTTGTTGATCTGAAACATCCAGTCTCATAACGTTAAGAATTTTAATTTACAGAAACAATAGTGCGGATTTAAATCAAACAATTTTTGAAAAGCTTTGCACTTTCAGTGTAATTACAAGATTGTGTAAAATTTGTGAAATTCGAATTTTGACTAAAACTAGACAAATATTTCTCAACTTCAAGCTTCAACTAGCAATTGATTTGAAGTGAGACTTATTTAATTGGAAGGACCAAACATAATTACCGAGAAATTGATCTGCTCTAATTTCTTACCTTGCGACGATTACTTATTTCCGGTTGATCAAACTGCTCATTTCCGAGCAAGTTATCCGCTTGAATATTCATTTCATTGACACGATCCGCATGTGTAGCTATGTCAGCTTCCAAAAGCTGATGTTTCTTAAGCAGATTCTGAATACTTGCCAGATCTTTTCCGTAATCCTCAGATCCAAGAAGGCCTACAAATGACAAATTTAAAAAAATGCGAAATAATAGCTTTCTAATAAAAATCAAAACATTGTTTACTGGTACGGAAGTATTGTGCACATTAATAATGAAGTATTCTTAAACGCTAAAACAAATGTTTTATTAAAGAATTTCCAAGAAGACTCAAAAAGAACCTTCAACTTCACCAAGCCAAAACTCAAGATCTTTCACGGCCGCCATGAAACTCTTTTGTTTATTGGCTTCTTTCAAACGGTAACTTTTTTCAGATGTTGTTTTAACAAGTAATTCCCACTGATCGTTTAATGCTTTAAGTCGCTGTGTAACAGCATCCTATAAAACAAGAATTAATTTCAAAATAATTTGGAATATAGTACAAAAAATGCAAAATAAAAGAGATAACAAGAAAGATAAATTTTTCAAACATCTTAAACAAATATAAGGATGCAATCTTAATTTTGTAGTCACATGCTAATGACAAAACTTGTCAATTTGGTCTCATAACTTTTATTCTGAACAGTCACCTCTCCACCAGCACACTTGCTCCCATCAATAAGATTTTGACCAGCAGTGATGAGCGTTGCAATCCGATCGGCATTTGCAGCAAGTTCGGCTTCAAATGCTTGCTGTTTTTGATGCTTTTGTTGTATGTGTGTCGGATCACGATAGCTTTCCTCCTGAGCAATCTGGAACTTTTCTGCGATCCAATTCTCAATTTCATCAGCATCTCGAGAAAACTGCTGCAAAGTTTGTGATTCACCAAGTTTACTACGCTTTTCAATCAAAGCAGCTTTCAGACGATCCCAACGATGAAGAATTTGATCACGTTTCTCGGAAACAGCAGTTCTATCATAGTGATCTGCGTTAATCAATTGATTTGCAAACGTTTGCAATGCTGAGATCTTTTCTTGTTGCGAAGCTATAGCCTAAAAGCACCAATTATATTGAGTTCGACTTTCATCCTTTCCATGGAAATACAATGAAAATTCATGACATAAAACATCACAACCAACTACCAGTCAATATTATTTACTTCCGCTAGCTCACTTTATGAATTCCAAATTATGTCGAACCTTATCAAAGTCTTCGTGTTTTTTGATCAAGCTTTCCACATTGTCGCCTGTATCTTCTTGATTAAGAAATGCTTCTCGAGCACTCATCCATGTATCGGCCTGTTCACAATCACGATAAAATAGCTGAAGCTCCAAACACTGGTCCAAAACATGTCGACGATGGACCCAAGAACTAGAGGGAAAAAAGGTAATCAGCTCTAACTAAATGTTGCCAATCGCAATCAAATTCCATATTCATGAACTAATAATAAAAGGTAATTCGTTACCAAAATTATATTTCTATCTGGGTATATCTTTAAATAACGATATATGAAAGAATTACACATTTCAATAACTCCTAAATAAACTTACTCTTCAAGCTTTTGCCGTGCATTATTGACATCATCAAGACGGTGCTTAATGTTTTCTGATGCATAGTGATGACTGTTCAGTAACTGGTTGCCGAACTGTTCGAATGCCTGAAATGTTGCAGAACGGGAATCAATTTCTGTTCGATATTCTTGGTGACGTTCGAGTAAAGCTTCCGCTCCAGTCACATCATTTGCAAGTTCGTCACTGGAGACTGAAACTTTCCATATAAACAACGGTACTCTACTTTCAAGTCTCAATGCTGTTAATTAAAAGACATATTCAAATTTCTTAAACAAATAAAGCACGACAAGAATCATAATGTTAAACTACTTTAATGAAAAAAATAGGCAGTGAATTTTTACAGAATTAAAATTATCAATTTCAGCATCACAAATAAAAAGTTACAAAAGTAGTCACAAATCATAAACAATCTGAATAAAATAATTCTCCCATTACTTTAGTATCTAGTCATTTTTATTACTGATCCTGAAATTTCCGACACTGGACGATATAAAAACTTAAAAACAAAATAGCACAGTTTCTGCAGAATGAATCATCATTACACTTTAATTAGTTTGTTCATTATAAGAATAAGCGTACCAAGTTGATTCATGGCTGCCGTCCATTGCATCAAATCACGAAAATCCGACAAGAATCGCTGATAATCATAACTGTCTAACAATTTTTCTTTACGATTATTAGCTTTAGCCGTGAGACGATTCCATTGCTCATTTAACTGCCGTTGCAAATCATAAATCTGTTCCGCAGCTTCTGGATGTGTTTGTCGCAAACGATTTGCTTTTTCATCCAGTGTTTTGATCTAGAAAAACAAAATTATACAATAAAGAATTTACTAACTCGTTCTAACTTTTATTTATAACTAATGTTGTTGTTAAATTCAATTACTATGTCAGACAATAAAAACCGTACTTTGTCACCCAGTGCTGCCAAATCGCGTTCGACACCTTCATGTTTCCGTTGAAGAGCTTGGACTGACCGCAAATCACGACCAAAATCTTCAGAATCAAGAGCTTCATCCTTTTCCATTATCCAGTCTTTCGTTTCATCAACATCACGATGGAATCGTTGAACTTCATGAGCTGAACCAAGCTGCTGTTCACGTTGCTCTGTTTGTTCTTCTAATGCACGCCAACGTGCGTTCAAGTCCTGTACAATTTCCTCACATTTTTTACTTTGTCCATAATTATATGACTTAAATTGGACGAAGTATGAAGCATTAATTAATAAAGTACTTACTACCTCAGTAAAAAAACTACACGCAAACACTTATCACAACCAAAACCTTCCTGTGTAATATGGTATTTTAAATTGTAAAGAGAAAGCCGCTGGTATAAAAGAAAAAATGAATTTTATCAAAATAGAAAATTTCATCTTTTCTTGCTATGAAAAGAAATTTACGTCTCATGAGTAATATATTTTCATCACAGAAAGATGAATCCTAACCTCAATTTGCTGTCGAATTCTTATAGCTGTTTCAGTTTGTCCAACTGATGTTAATGCTGTTGCAATTTGATTCATTTCTTGCAGTCGTATTTCATTCGCTTTAAGGTCACCTTTGAAATCATCAAATTTCTTCTGCAATACTTCCACTTGTTCCAAGTCACTGCCAATTTCTTGCTGCGCAGCAACTGCTTCCTAAATATATATATTTATTCCCCGATTACACAAAATTTATTTCCCTATATACAGAAAAAATCTTTGTACAGTGATAAATTGTAGAAATGCAATTAGAACTAGTTATTGCGGTTAATTTGGAACTCAGTTTTCAATCACTAATAAAACGATTTTAGTTTTTAAAATTTTATATAAAAAGCTATAATTTTAGTTCTAAAAATTTCTGCGGGTTAACGACAAAAACATCCGCCATTAGTTAACGCTTCACATATTTCAATATTCGTTATCAATGACTTTTTGAAACATCCCTACCCTTGAGCGTATCCATTCAGCTAAATCATTAGCTTCGCGAAGTAATTGATAACCTTTACAAGCTTCTTCAAGTTTACGTTTTCTTGTATCTCCAAGTATAACAAGTTTCTGGTACTGATCTTCGATCTCGTTTTGCTTTCCTCCAATAGATGATGGAACCTGAGCAAAAAATAAGCAGTCAGTAAACAAAATTAAGAAGTAATCCATCAAACTTAAACTTTCTGGTGACGTCACGAAAAACAATAATTCAAACACTATCATACGATGATTAAAGCTAAACAATTTTTTATCACTGCCATATAAAACAAAACGTACTAAGTGGTTATCAAAAATACTTAGTATACAAACATGTGATCTCGCTACAACTAGCTGCAATTAACTACGTCATGAGAAGGTGAAACTACATATTATTAAAAGGTAAATTATTGAAGTCACAATAAAAATTTTCAAATTACTTGTTGAGATGTAGATTTCTGTGCAGCACCTGCCTCAACTTTTTTCACATAAGCAGCTGGAACAAATCCTTGGCGATCATTTACTTCTACTTTCCACCAATCCTAAAAATGGAACAGCATTGATAAAGCACAATAAATATGTGACACGAGCGAAAAATTCACTGCAGAACAAGGCAAAAAGTACCATCACTTAGAAGAGTAAATTTAAAAAGCTTAGATAAGAAAATAGGCAAAAAGTACTTTATTCGATGAATTTAATAATGTGAGAACATCGCCCTTCTTGATCGATACTTCTCTTGGTGACTTTTCCGTATAATCATATAAAGCCATTACACATTCCCTACCAAGCTGCCCACCGGGTTGTTCTTGATATTTACATTGACTAGCTTGTTTACGCAACTCCTGCAAACACGTCAAGGATCAAGAAAAAATCAGCATAGTGATGGTCCATACAGTGAAATTGCATCCAAACGTGCAAAGCCTAACAGCGACCGGAAATGACATTTCCTCCTAAGAATCTTAATATTTTAAAGCTCTTACATCAATAGTCGATTTAAAAGCTTCCAAATCTGACATTAAAGCACGATGCTTCTTTAACAGCGACTCAGCACTATCTTCGTCTTTGCCATAATCAGTACTTCCGACTACTGGCTCCTTTTCTCGCATCCAAGATTCTGCTTCGTTTGCATCAGCCAAATATTGATGAGTCTAAAATATACATATGATGACTTTATTATCAAAAACATGGAAATTTACCATTTTTTTGAAAGAATTTCACTGTTTTGTTCTAGACTAATAGACATTAGTAAACCGAACTGCATAAAAACATCATTCTACCTGCAGTGAATCATCGAGATCTTGTCGACGCTTATCAGCCCTCGCTTTTAAATTTCGCCAGCTGTCACGTAATTGAGCAAGTTTATCACGAATATCAGGAGCAAGAAAATGACCTTGCTTAATCATTAATTCTGCTGTTTCAGTTACAGCTTCGATCTGCTGTTCATGATTCGCTATTTCAGCAATCAAAGCCTGCTGTTTCTTAATCAAATTCTGGACACCAATTAAATCTCGACCTATAAAAAACCAATAAATTTCAACCTAGTTGTTATATCGTCGCTACAAAAAGTTATCAATTCACTCAATAACCTCGATTTGAACTGCCCGCAATTTGCTCCTTCTCACGAATCCAGGCTAGTTCATCATCAATATCTCTAAATAACTGATTCCCATGAAGGGATTCACTTAATTTATCTTTCCGCCGATTTAACGGATCGCGCAACGCATCATATCTAAAACTTGTAACCAAATTTATGATTAAACAACAACTAAGTTGCTGTGCATTGATTATCATAATCTTTTTAAGCAATGAAAAACCATTTTTATTAATAACGTGGAACTAAACGCTAAACAATTAGTAAATCATAGACAGTTGAAAAACATAATATCCTATTTAGTTAGTGAAACTGTATTTGTATGAAGGATATAAAAATACTTTCCATTACTTTAAACATACCTCGTACGAAGAGCTTCTTCTTTCCGCAAAATCATTGGTGCATCGAAATGACCACTATCATGAAATGTTTGAGCTTGATTCTTAATGACATCAATGCGATCCTGATGAGCATTATAATCACTTTCCAGAAGTGCTTGCTTCTTTTGTAGATTTTGAACAGATATTAAATCTTTGCCATAATCTTCAGATGCCAGTTGACCTTCCAATTCACTAAGCCATAATTCAATATCCTCAACATTCCTGAAAAAATTTCCTAAGAAAACACATAAATCACATTACAAAATCTAACTGCCGTACATCCTCAAGTCAAAATAAATGTTCCCATTATAATTTCCGTTAACCTTAAATCATATTATGAGCATATTATACCGTACTGTCAGTTAAGAAAATTGACAAATTTTTGGTAAGTTTAGAATTTGGCAATCAATACCTGTTGAATTGCTGCTGGTCACCAGCTTCCTTTAATTTCGAACCTTTTTTAGCAGTAGCATCAACCAATTCGTGCCACAGTCCAATCACCTCATTTAGACGTTCCTGTACATGTGATGCTGCATAGTGTTGTTCTTCAACCAAGGAAACTCCAGTGTTATTGATATCATCCAAGCGATTCTTATTCGCTTTTAACTCTTGCTCATAATTCAGATGTTTCTGTAGTTTGCCTCTAAAAATTCTGACAATTATTCTTTCACAAATGTTGAACTTTCAATTTCAAAAGTGTTCTTGATTAAACACTATACTTGAAAATTTGAGATAAAGAAGTAAAAATGATTTTTTGATATTCTTCATCTATTAAACATCGAAAAATGGATAGAAATGCTAAACATAATATTTTATACAAATTGAACAATTAAACAAATAATAATGAAAACCTAATGTTCGTAGGATCAAGGTAAGAATCATCTTTAGCAGTCTTCAACTTTTCTGTTATCCAACCAACCATCTCATCACAATCACGATCAAACTGTTGCAAACGATAAGAACTCTCCAGCTGATATCGCCTTTCAGATGCCTACAACATTTACGCCACAAATAATAGAGAGAACTTTACCCGATTAAAAATAACTCTTATATTTGATCTCTATCAAAACTCATGAATTAAAAGCTCAATTAAAACAAAACAATTTTCAAAACGTATTTAACTACCATCACTACAATGTTTTAACATGATTCTCAACTTCTAACCTTTTTAATGAGTTGTTTTCGACGATCCAAAAGTGATATACGCCGTCGAGCTACGTCGTCAGCAGCATAATGTTGTCCTTGTATCAATTTCGAAGCAAATTCATCCAGGGCATTGATCTTTTCCTCTTGAGCAGTTAAAGATTTTTCAAAATCTTCATGCTTCTTAATAAGTGACTCAACACTATCTAAGCTATCGCCCAAGTCCTTGTTTGATAAAAATGCTTCTTGCTTAGTCATCCATGTCTCAGCCTAAAGAATTTTTAATGAAGTTCTAACTACTCGTTACTTACATTTACCCATTGCATTCGCAATTTTAATTTCCGAGATTGTTTAGTCACTTATCACAAAACGGCACATATCGCACAATAAATTTACTCAAGTTCAGCTCTAACTATGAAATTACACTTCTTCAATATCCTTAAATTTATTACAATGTCTTCATGTTAGTGATGTTCTTTTTTTTCTTGAACGACAACTCCAGAGAAGGAAAAAAGTAATTCACTTTCTTTTTTTTCTTCATAACAAATTTCAAACTATGCATTAATTATTCAAGCTAATACATCTCATATCAAAATCACCTGTTCCGTATCTCGATAAAATAACTGTAAATCCATGCACTGCTCATAAAGTATTCGTCGTTCTTCCCACAAAGACAATAAACTCGCTTTTTCTTGTGCTAGATGCGTCAGTTTATCACGAACTTCATCAGATTGTTCAATTCGTTCATCTAAAAGTTTTTGACCAGCTTCTGCTGTTTGTGTAAAACTATCTTCCCGTGCATCAATTTCACCCTAAAAATAGAATATGACACGAAAAAAACCCTACTTTTTCAGTAGTATACAATTTTATTAAAAGCTAGAATTAAGGCAACTAACTTTATGCTCTTGATGACTTTCAAGTAATGCTTCGGCGCCCGCTACATCTTTAGCTAACTCATCAGCTGATATAACTGCTTTCATATCATTAATCCAAGAGCAAAGATCGCGATAATCCGCCAAAAACCTCCAAATTGATAAGAAACATGTCGACTTTAATCTTTTTACAGTATCTTTTCTCACACATTTTATCAACTTTTACGCTGTAGTTACTAACCGATGGAGATTATAGGACCGATCCAATCCATCTTTACGTGCTTGTGCTTTCTTTCTTAATGCTGCCCACTGTTCTTTGGCTTCATTCATTTTTGCATAGATTGCATCTGCTCGATCAGGATGTACTTGTACCAGTCGTTCTGCCTCTGCTGATAATGAATTCATCTAAAAATATAATTAACATAAGCTCAAAGTAAACCTGATTAGTGATTGTAAAATATGTTATTTACCATCGTTAAAAAATTACATATGCCTATGAAGTCCATGGCAAAAACTCAAACCTTAGCATCTAATGCAGCCAAATCACGTTCTGTTCCTTCATGCTTACGTTGCAATGCTTGGACATTATTTAAATCACGTCCATAATCATCAGAGGACAGTGTGGCATCCTTTTCTCCAATCCAAGCCAGAGTTTCATCAATGTCACGGTTGAAACGTTGCACCTGATGAGCTCCAAATAGACCTTCTCTCCTATAAAAATGAATTTATAAAAACTGATAATTTTTCAATATATTGATGATGACATTTTGGCAACAAATCAAAGTCCCTTAACGCACAATCGAAAATATACCTAGTTGCAGCTAGAGTATTAAGCCTATGCCACGCATCATTAACTTCAGCCTTTTTAGTATTGATTGTTTCATGTTCTGTATGGCCTTCTTCAATAAGTTTGTCTGCTGCCTGATTAACTTCCGTTATCCGATAATGATGGTTGCCTAATTCTTTCAAAAATTCTTCAAATTTTCGTTGCAAAACCTGAATAAATGATGATAAGATCTGACAATCATGATTCACAGATAAAAGTTCTTAACACACGAAAATGTAAAAAAAAAAAATGTTTAAATGATTTTAAAATCAACTAACTTCGACGTGTTCTAAATCTTGACCAAAATCTTTCGCTGTAACAAAAGCTTCCTTGTCACGAATCCAGTAAAGTACTTCATCGCACTGTCTAATGAATTGGAGCAGTTTCAAGGCCTGCTGAAGTCTGATGCCTTTGTCTTTAAGCTTAAAGAATAGCTGATCCCATAAAGCATGAAGCTCATTGAGTCGTTTCTGAAAATTCATTTAATACAAGAATGTCTCTGAAGTTACACTGCGCTTTAGCAAATAAGATATTGATGAGCCAACTGCAGGCTATAGGATGAGGAATAAAAATAGACAAATGAAATATATGATTCTATGTTCCAATTATCTTTCATTCTACTTCAATCGGTTAAATCTGGCATGAACATATCCTTGAGTGACTTTTGTTGCCGAGAAGCAATTTCCTACTTTTTTCGAATAATGATTGATTTCATTTTTGATGCTCAAAGCTTTCCATAACTCAAACTATATTGAATTCTGTTTATTTATTTCATCTAGATTTTCTCTTGTTATCCAATTTCGACTATTTTTCTCGACTATGAAAAATAAATGCAGGCGAACATTGTGAATGGTCTTTACCTTAATGATATCAGATGCAAAATGCTGATGTTGTATCATGTCATTACCAGTTTTATCAAGTTGTCCTATAGCATTCGAATGGGCATGAACTTCAGCTTCAAAAGCCTCATGCTTTTGAATCTTTGCCTATAAACATAACTATAACAAAAGATTAAATAAAATCAAAAGTACGAAAAGAGCGCCAAAAGATTTTTAGGTTTTAGGAATTGTTAAATCTAATAAACTCGTCAACCATACATATATTACTTTTAGCAGGAATAACGCAAGCTCCAAAATAAACATACCTGTAAATTTGTAGGATCTCGGAATGATTCTTCCGAAGCTGTTTGCAGCTTTTCAATTATCCATATTTCCAGCTCATCAGCATCTCGCTTGAAATACTGAAATTGACGAGCCTCTTCTAGACGATCACGTTTAACTCGGGCAAACTCTTTGAACTGCGAATAATGCCCCAAAACTTCAGCTCGTCGACTCTGTAAAGTAATCAAATAAAAAGAAACAACGACAAGAATGTCATGGATTGTTTCAGGTAATTTTCGCAACATCTAAGAGAATAATTATTCAGTAAACACAAACTTATTTTGATTATTTCTTTTCACTGTACAGTAAATTGTCATCAGACTACATTATTGTTCACATGGATATCTTAATAAAAGTATACATGGAAAAGCTAAATTAGTGTTCTGAGCATGCCAAGTTTTTTATAATCTGTTTGTTCAGAACTAGTTCTTTGCTTGATTCAGATCATCAATTAAAAGTAGAGATATCAGTACATTCCATCTTAATAACTCTTAAGAATTTGTAGATTTAGATATTTACGGTAATGAAATTTAGCAAACAAAAAATTATATTCAACAGATCTCAAAAAAAGAAACATGCTATATGCCTTGTTTTTTTCGAATATGAGTTTAGGTAAGGAAGAGTAAATTGTGAATAATCAATCACTTTCGGAGAAAAGAATAGTGACTATTCAAAGCAAACAATGTTGACTATCCGATACACTCATTTAAGCAGTCAATATTGGCAATCTAATCAATCAATATTATCAACTGAAAGTGCCTGGAATTACCTGAATGTCTTCAGCAGTTTCCAAAATTTTAATTTCTTGTGGAGGAGGAACTTCAAGAACAGGCTCCGGCGGTGCAGTCGGAGTTGCATCATCCAACGCATCCATATTTCTATCGTCCAGTTTGTTTGGTACAGACTAAAAATATTTCAATCACATGCAAATACAACTCTTCTTGAACTGCTCGCTACCTGTCATTTTAAAATGTTAGAAAAGGAGACAAAGTACAAAAAATGGAGTGAATATTGATAATAAAAGCACCATTCAACGACAAATATTCGCCCATTTTTACGAGAACATAAGTAAAAGTGTATATTGAAATTTTGGCTTTCAGAAGACAGATGGTAGAGAATGACAATTAATTCAGAACGGAATTGTGAAAGCAGACATATATATATATATATATATATATAT